ACACACACACACAAACACACCCATAAGAAATTAATATATTATTTATATACATACCCTATAAGTAGGTTGAGTTTAGAAGAAAATGTCAATATAGTAGTAGTCTATTATTTACACCATTATTTAAACTAATGAAATTTTTGCCATAAAACAGTGCTATATTATAAATACAACAATTTTTCTGAAACCTTCTCTCCTCTTTTCCTCTAAATCTCATGTTTCTGTGCTACATATTTGTTTTGGTGAGAGTCCCTTTCTTTTTCTTTATGGCACATCGATTCATCCACCTAGTAATAATGTAGAACTGTCCCTCTGTCCCTCATGGCCTCAGTTGGCCATCCCCTCTCCTTCACCTGAGAAGCAGAAGGTCACTGTTCGCCCTCCCCCACTGGCTTTATGAGCCTTATAATTAAAACAGGGAGTAAATACTGGAGGGAGTGAAGGGCCGCTCTATAACTCTTCGCCGACTTATCACCGTGTCACTGAAGCGAGGAGATATCCGTTACTTTCTCGTGCAAAAACCCCTTTGCTGAGGAGACTTTTTTTTTTTGTGCAGGAGAGCTGCAGCCTACTTTTCTGATGCCAGAGGATGTAAAACAGGTCTTTGTTCTTTTCTTTATATGAAACTCTTGGTCAGGTAGCCTTACAATGGGATGACAGATCAGTGTCTAACTCAAGGACTTGATTATTGATGGACATGTTGTCTGTTGTGGAGATTTAACTTGTGACCTTCAGGTTACGGAACAGTCTCTCTAGCCATTCATTGGCTTAGCCTGCACCACCTAGCAACTGGAGTGAACACATGTAGGATGCAAGCTGTAATAATAACAGGTTCTAGTGAAAAACATTTTTTGTACACAACAACATAACAATGACAATGTTCTTAAACTGTGATTAATCAAGATTTGGTTATAATGAATTTGGTTATGCTGATTTTTCTTTGCTTTCAACTTGAAAAAAGGTGTGTGTGTGTGTGTGTGTGTGTGTGTGTGTTCCACTAATGTACCATGTTTGCTTTTTTCTCAGGACATAGCATCCCAAAAGTTTTCCATGCCATCCCCGGTTCGCACAGTTATTGCTGCAGACTTTGACAATGACAACGAGCTGGAGGTCTTCTTCAATAACATCGCCTACAGGGGCCCCTCCGCCAACAGGCTCTTTAGGTACGCACACACTCACGCATACGTACACACATGTTGTATAAGTATGATAGTAAGTTTTAATAGCACTTTGGTGATGAGCTTAATGAACTACGTGTGTCTTGATTTAATATTCTAAAACTGGGCTTGGAAGCTGAGAAGAATTTAAAATTACCAGCCAAGGATACTTATCTTGTCTGGCATCCCGCCTCCTCCTCCACACATGAATGAATCTTTCATTAAGACAGTTTTAGGTCTCTTTTTGGCTCACGGTTTGGCTTCCTCTCTAGATAATATTAATGAACTCAGCTCTCAAAATGCAATATATGATACATATCAATTGTTAAGACTTAGCAGTAGAATAAACCCATCCAGTCTGAATAAAAATCTGATCTGGCATATTTTTCTGAACAGGATGCAGAATTGATGATGAATGTTGCCATGAGCTGGTGGGTCAATTCATACTGAATATCAATAGTCAGTGTAAACCCCAGAGATTTCCTGGATCAGAATTTTCCTGCACGCCAGGTCATTGGAGAAGAATTTGTCTTTCTGGACACGATGAAGGTTTGACAGGGGTCACTGCTCCACAGCCCGTGGCGCTGCCATTGTCTAGTATGAAGATGAATCAGCTAATTTAACTCTGCTGTCTGGCACTGAAAAAAAAGCTCAAACTCTTGTGCCATAGCTAATTAATTTAATGCAACTAATCAATATTTAGCTGAGCTGAGGGGTTTAACAGCCAGGATCAGCACATTAGTGCACTGTAAAATGGCATTATGACTTAAAGAAACTTGGATAAAAAGATTCTTTGTCACTAAAGATCCTTGGGGGCTGGAAATATGTATGATTTCTTCCAAAAAATGTGTTTCAGCAGACATTGAAATCAAGTCAATGCAGTGTATTTATAGGGCACATTTAAAGACAACACAATTTGACCGAAGGGCTTTACAGAAAGATGGCAATTACAATCAGATAAACCACAAAAAAAGATACTGAGAAATAAATAATAATAAGTAAATTATACAAATAATAATAATATTAATATTTTTTTAAGTTTTAGAAGGCATATTGAATAAGTATGTGTCAACAAATAATAGTAATAACCATTTTCCTTTTTTGTTTTTTTTTAGTTTTGGGTCTGTATGCTATGTGAGATATAGAGATATACAATCTAACTAATAACTATAATATTTTGCTCTGTTTTTCTAGTTTAAAGTAGAATGAAATGAAAATACTCAAGTAAAGTACAAGTACCTCAAAATTTTAGTACAATACTTGAGTAAATAAAATGTTGCAATATAGTACTGCTAATATTTATAGTGGCTAATGTATTAATGTTTTACAGTGGTTTGATGGGTAGCTGCTGTGATGTTGATTTGATAGGGTGAGCAGGAGAGAGCATGGAGACCCTCAGATAGAAGAGCTGAATGTCGGGGAGGCATCAGAGCCTGAAGGACGAGGAACCGGTGAGTGTGGAAGAACAGCAGTCTGTCTTATAACTCAGCATGATCGATGATAATTAACTGCCACTCCAACATCTCACCATTAGGTGGCACCAGAGCTCCACTAGTGATGTGAGTTTCCTCATGCACTCCATAAAAGAAAAAGGACTTGTTCCACATAATTAGTTCCATGACTGTTGAAACATTATGACCATGATTCCCTGCCTGCATGAGGATAATAAATGTTATCTAGGCTGTTTCCCAGAGTGTTTAGTTGTATCATTACTGTGATTGCTCTCCAGGAGCTGTAGCCACAGACTTTGATGGCGACGGGCGTTTGGAACTGCTGGTGTCTCATGGTGAAAGTGCAGCACAGCCGCTTTCTGTCTACAAAGTCATCCAGGTGAGTGTTTGGGAGACATCTTAAAAGCCTAGAAATCTGTTTGACAGTGTAATCTTAACCCCAACCCTCCCGTTTCTCATTCTGTCTGTGTCAGGGCACCACCAACTCCTGGCTGAGAGTGATTCCCCGGACCAAGTTTGGTGCTTTCGCCAGAGGAGCTAAAGTGGTGGTGTACACTAAAAAGAGCGGCCCACACACACGGATCATTGATGGTGGCTCAGGGTACCTGTGTGAGATGGAGCCAGTCGCCCACTTTGGGCTTGGTAAGTTTGGATTTCAACAGTTGAAGGACACAAAGTTGTAACAGTGATTGAACCTCTTAGTTAAGAGTTAAGAGTTAAGTATTACTGAAACCAGCAGATGTTTGACATTTTTTCTTGATAACAGATTTGTTGGTGTTGATTTAGTCTGTTGACTGATTAATTGATTAACTGACTAACCATGTCAGCACTACTCTTTACTATAGCTGGGTAAGGGATAGACAGACAAAGAGAAATGGACAGTGAAAGTAGCTGTGAGAAGGGAAATGAAAGCTCCATGTGGAAAGCATTGTTTTAATGCCTCCAGGCTGATTAGACACCCATGGGAGACTAAGTTGTCTGTAGCTGAGAGCTGAGTGGACAAAGTAGAGAGAGATGGAGGACAGGTGCTGCAGCTGGCTGGAACCAGCTCCTTCTGCCCCCATAGGACTGTCAGCTGGTGGTCATCCAGGCCTGGTACCTGGGATCTGGTCCAAGCTCATCTCTGGAGGCCCTCAATTTTAATGCCTGATTACTCATAACACACTCTAAAGCCAGGGCTCAGACTACAGGAGCCCCTACTGACAATCGGAGGAGAAATCTGGTCGGCACCAAAGTTTGGCCAAGATTATCTGGTGATGTGAGTGGTTTACAGATCTGGTTTTAAACCTCCTGAACTGCTCACAGACTGACCGGGCTGCCCCGATAATTTCAAATATGATATAGGAGTAAAATGTGGATGATTATGTCACTACTTTCTGAGCGGGACCACAATAGCCAAAGAGAGAAGTGAATCTACAAGTACCAGAGCAGCTGACGGTGGTGCCAAGCAATGGTAAACATTGTAGCCCTTGAGGCTAACGTTAGCTAGCATTCTACTGTTGACAGATATTAAAACTGACTGACTGTGTCCATGTCAATTTTCTCATCCACACTCGTCTAGCCTTCTGCTTTTTATCACTCCAAAGCATTACTATAGCAAGTTGTTGCACCACGTTTGTCTCCATTTTGTTTACATCTACTTCCTTATGAGATCATGTGAGGTTGGACATTGCTCCCTCTGGGATAGGATCCTGTGATGCATCAATATTTTCAGCGTGTGCATGTTTGAGATTCGAGAGAAGAACATTTGTGAAGTTTCTCCTTATGTATGAGATGCAACCACATTTCAAAATCAGTTCAGATTTCTAAACTCCTGTAGTCTGAGCCCAGCAAACTTTCCACACTGTTGTAGCTTCAAAACAAACCTCCACACTTGCAAACTGTTAGACATGTGACTCCCCTCCACTAAATGAGTGGGTGTCATGCGGGTGCAGAACAGGTGAAATATTTTTTGGCTCTCAGGCAGCACACCTGCTGAGTAGATCACTGTCTGGCAAGGTAACTCAAGATCTGTTTACAGTAGAAATGCCACTTTAATTAAGGGCTGCAGAGGCCCTCTGGAGAGGGGCTTTTTCTATGCCTGATTAAAATAGTTAATGGAGAGAGAAGAGGAGAGTGCCACTCTGTCTCTCACTGTAGCAGTGAAAAAGAGAGAAAAGGAGAAAGCTTCATGACACAACCCATGATAACCTACAGTATGTACTGAACTGTGTGAGCCCTCAAGAATCACTAGAGGACATACAAATGTGTGTGTTGTGCTGTATGTCTAACCAGGTAAGGATGTGGCCACCAATGTCGAGGTGTACTGGCCGGATGGTCGTTCAGTGGCCCGACCCCTGGAGCCTTCAGATGTCAACACGGTGCTGGAGATCCACTATCCAAGAGATGAGGAGGAAGTCACTCCTACTGTGGAAATAGAGGTACAGCACTGTGCAACTTTTCTTCAGATGAAGGGGCTCAGACAAACACACAGACTAGAAAGAAACTCAAAAAACTAGGTCTTAAAACTAGGCCTTGATTATAAAAGTTTTGTGCTTTTTTATTGCATATATTTCTGTATTTGTGTTTAGTCAAATTACGACATAGCAGACTTGAGGTCAGGTAGTATTCCAGCATAGAAAAAGTGCAGACATTGCACAGAAAATGGGAAGAACATAGGGTTAATGGGGGCCCCTACCAGGTCAATAGACCTCACAAATGTTCACTGGGACTGTATAATCTTTCTACAAACAAAAAAAACCCGATACCCTTACAATAACTTAAAGATGCTACAGATGGGTGACAAATTACAGGAAACACCAACATAAAGTCAGTAAGATGTTGGGTCTGTACAAGCCTCTAGAACAGCTTCATTGGTATAGATTATCCAAGTGTCAGGAAGTCTACCGGACAGATGAATGGCAAATAAAATTCCCTCATTTTGTGTTTTGATTCTTCTACAAAACTCTTCTACAAGTGTTTTTACAAGTTTTGTTGAGATCTGTCATCAAACCATTCAGTGACCCCTCCTGCCCTGTGGATGAGGGCATTGAGGGCATCTGCAATAGTTTCTCCACTCGTTTTATCAGATTTTTCCTTTATTTGTCACCTGTCTGAATAATCACATAAAAAAAATCTACACATGTTTTTTCCTATATTCCTAAAATATGTTGTTGTTTCTAATTAAACTGACTGTGTCTTGCAGTGTGGTCATGGGTTTGCTCTGAATGAGAATGGCCGTTGCACAGGTAAGTTGTAAAGATGTATCTGTTACCTGTTTTCTGCTTGTGTCCCTGTTTAAAATCAAGACAAAAAGTGTCTTTCCTTCCCTCGCTTACCCCTTTTCTCAGATGAAGATGAGTGTACCCAGTTTCCCTCTGTGTGCCCCTCTGACCGCCCTGTCTGCACCAACACCTATGGCAGCTATAAGTGCCGCGCCAAGAGGAGATGCAACCAGGGCTTTGAGCCCAACGACGATGGGTCAGCCTGTGTGGGTGAGTGGTCCTGGCAGAGTCAGGGTAGACTTAGCTGGATTACCAAGATCAGGAGAACAAAGGAAGCACTGCCAGAGAACGAGATGCTTTAAGCTGCCTTAATTACTCTAGTTTTGAGTAAAGGCTTAGAGGTGCTAACATTCCACTGGCTGTGTCCCCTCTCTGCACCCCGCTGTCTTGCATGACTAACTCCCCCATGAGAATGAGCTCTCTTTCAGCCATAAGGACACAGATGTTGGCTAACTTTTTCCCTGCCCTCTGTTTTGCCTCTCTCTCTGCAGCCCAGGTAGCTTACTTTGGGGGGACGCGGTCCTCTGGGGAGCGCAAGTGGTCGGGTCTTTCTTTCTGGCTGCTGTCCGTCACTGTGCTACCTCTCATCTCTACTCATCTCCACACTGGACTACTGTAGCTGTCACTCTCCTCTATGCTTCCTAACTCTCTTCACTGCTAAATGGGGATGTACAGAAACTCTCGGAGCAAACTTTTCACTGAAACATCTACTCCTTCCTCTCCTCTGTGGATCTCTGCTATCTTTTTCCACCAGTTATTTACAGTCTTGCCCCTTCCTCACCGCTGCTTTTTGTCACCTCTTGGCTCCCGGCCCCCTCTGGACTATAAAGAAACACAAAGGGAGCATGCTCGCTGGGAGCTACGGGGTTCAGAACTAACTGTGTCACACCCGCAGAGCCCTCACGTCATCACCTGGCACTTATCTTAGTGGGACCTGAACTGAGGCCAAGTCAATAAGTGGAGCTGCAGCATATAAACCACTGCACATACAGCAGACAGATCTACTGGCTCCACAGACCACATTCATTAGAGACACGCTGAGGCCCCATCTGTATATCCACAGTGCCACTATGTTAATCCTTACAGTGTCACTCTCATTCTTATTATGGGCTTACTGGGATGCTGAGGAGCACCAGGTCTCCAAGCTTTAGGTTCTGTGTGTGCGTGCGTGCGTGTATGCGAGTGTGTACTGCTTCCAAAGTCGGGTAGAGGAACATATGCCAGACCATCTGTCTCAGATGGTAGGTTACATTTTGTTACCTATGAATAATACAACAGCACAGTGGAGAATATAAACACACGTGTATGTGTGTGTGTGTGTGTTAGCACAAGAACGGGCAGGAACAAATTTTATTTTTACAGTAGCTGGAAGGTGTTCTTTAACCCGTTATAATTTACTAAGAAATGAGGTGACAAGAACATGAAGACAAAAGGAAAATTATTTGGATCTTCATGGGCCATGATTTTTCTAAAATAAATTAATGTTCTGAAAAATACCTAAAACAAAACTCTCCAGGCCATTTAATGTAGCACTGGTGTCACACTAAGCTTGATATAGTGCAGTAAAATGTACGATCATTTCCTTACAATTTAAAATCTGCAAAAGTTTTAAGCACAGTAGCTGGAAAGTGTACTTGATTGTTGATGTTTTATATCATTTGCCAAATAATGAAAGGATAAGGCTGGTGATGTTCT